TATGACAAATTAACAGATTACATATAATGGTTAATCTGCTGAATTAGTATTATCTAATTACGCTTACTGTTTCAAGAAATAGATAAGGTCACAAAATCAATAATATTTTAAATGTAATATTTTTACAATAAAATTATTCCTGGTAGACCAAGGGACTATAAATTATTATATAAATTATACCAAATTAAACATGAATTATTTGCTTATAAATTCCACGAATTACTGTTAAGAAAAATATTCTATAACATGGATAAAATAAGAATAATGTAAAAGCTGTAAAAGCGTCAGAAATGGTTTACACACCCTGTACAGTATTTAAACATAACAATAAAAAAGTTATTTTAAGTTTCAAATAAAATACAATACCTTGAAAAATAATTTTTACCCACGATGTTAAATATAACTATTAAATAGAAAATATTTCACTTCATTCATTTCACTTTTATTAGTAAGAAGCTCGAGGTCTTTATGTCTATTATACTGGTTATTATTATAGTTAATTAATTAACATGCTTTTGAATCTAAAAATGACCATGGTGCCCGTAATAATGTTTGCGGTCCGACTGCTGGTCACTATCTATACATACGTTACACTTCCCTACTATTACTGGAGCCAAAAGCCGTGGCATCGGCTCAGAAGAGCCCATAGATGTCGGGCCCGATTAGAGGTGCCGAAGGACGCGGCCAACAGCGCCTGGATATGCAATGGATCCCAACTAACTCATCCAGTTATACGGCCAACAGTGACCGAGATATTAAACAACCTGGTCAAATATCATGGCCATGATACACCTATTTTAGGTACAATGCACTTGGTATTATATTATATTTTTAAATATAAATTTAAAATAATACTTAAAGTTTTCATGCTAAACCCATTTACACTAATTTGAAATTATTTTATTTAATAATAATAACAATATTTATCTATATATTATTCTACCGTTAGCTTATCGAGAAGTACTATCTGCCAAGAAGTCAATGGCAACCAACGGTAAATGCGGGCAATTAGACAACAAACCGATGCGACGGTTACGGCTTGGCGACTATAAGTGGCTGACATACGGCCGGGTGGACTCAATCACCACATCCCTGGCCAGAGGGCTGGCGGCCAATGGGGCCAACTTTGGCGATAAAATATTGATCTTATCGGAGACACGCGTGGAGTGGTTTTTATGGGCTCAGGCGGTGGCCAAACTCGGCGCTTGTATTGTCACATTATCTCCAAATCTAGGTATTTATTTCTATGAGCTTGGTGTAATATTTTGTGGTGCATACTGTTTAATGTGGGTGAATGAGTTAGCATCGTATCACAAAGTTGACTTTGAAGGCTTTACTAACAAACAAACTTACTTTACTAACAATATATTATCACCCCTATAATGTAAATTTATATTAAAAATAATAGGAACTAATATAAATAATGTGTAGTTAAGTAAATAAATTATAACTTTTGAGACAAACTATGAGTAAGAATTAGAGAATTAGTTATAGACTGTAATATATAATACGATAGATATTAGAGAGATTAAAACTGTAATTTCGATAATCATAATTGGCCTATGAATGACAACCCAAACTTTTTTAAAATCTATATAAAATAACAATATTTTTCTAATAATTTTATGAAAGCAAATTATTTTGCAAAATAACTTATCAAATATCTATTTTAAAATATACAAAAAATAAATATTTGTTTTTTAGATTTAGTTAATATAATAAAAATAAGTAATAGTCTAAATATTGAATTGGTTAAGCAATTTAATTTTATATTTACCAAACACCACTCTTTAAAGTATCAAACATAATTATTTATAACGATATTACAAAATTGATATATTACCAAGGTGATGAGGGACTCGCATACGGCATCAATCAAACGGAAATTAAACTAATGATCGTTTCGGGCAATTGTGTGCCCAAAATCCGGTCACTAATCAGTCAAATACCAACCGTTCGTACCGTTATATACATAGACCGCAATCATTTTCAACTGGAAACCGACCCCAAGTGCTCACTCGGTGACCAAATTACGGGCTTTCCGGACACTATTCAAGTGCTGTCTATGCGTGAGGTGGAGCTGAAAGGTGTCCACCGGTCGGACATTGCGCTCCAGACCCCTGAATCGGACGATCCGTTTGTCATAATATACACGTCGGGCAGTACGGGTGCGCCCAAAGCGGCGGTGGCCACACATCGGCAAATGGTCAACGGGTCGGCCAATTCATTATTATCCCTATTTAAAGATATCATTGCCGACGGCACCCGCAGCCATACGTACGTAGCGTTTTTGCCGTTGTGTCACGTGTTTGAGCTGACCATTGAATTCTTCCTCTATTACGGTATTGATATCTCACAAATGTATTGCTTGTTTTACCGCATGAACGCCACCTATAGTTACGCTATAATTATTGCCTTCAGTGTTTATAAATGGCAGGGTTATATGTGTGCATAGTAAAATTTTGATAAAACTTTTATGTTATCACCTTTGCCAATTTTATTATCTATTTTGCATTTACAACTAAACTATTTCAATTTATTTTGTAATAATTACAGTTTGTTGTATTCTAGTTACAAAATGTTTTTGTAGCTTATCTAGCAAATGTACTTTCTCTCTCTCTCTCTCTCTCTCTCTCCACGGCTTTGCGTTTTGTTTTCATGGCTGCTGTCATTAAATCGTTGTCT